TTTATTTATTTATTTATTTATTTATTTATTAATAGCTAATACACGTGTACGTACTAACATTGTTGCAAGTGCAGCGTCTTTATATTTATTTACTAAAAACTTTACATGTACGGTGTGTTTTTATTTATTCATTTATTAACTAATAACCCATACGTTGCAAGTACGGTGTATTTATTGGCGGATGAGTTAAAACACACATGTAGAAGTTATTAGTAAATATAATTAAAATAAATAATTAAATATAAGTATATGCAAATAACTGACAGGCTCAATCAATAAGAAACTAAACCAATTTCCAGGTGCCAAGTGGTGGCAGACTCCCGCTCACCGTATATCTCATACATATTATAAAATTATCTGATGAAGTCACAGGATTCTCTGAAATACTGATACTAAGGGTTCTATTGCAGAAACTATCAGTGAATACAAATAGTACATTTATAAACAAAATACAACAACCTAGCAATATCACGAGCACCTCTGTTTGTGCGAGTTTACAGGACGTGGAAGTTCAACATTCAAACAATGGATATGTCATTGACATTAGTTTACTTGACGTTGTATATACGTGTCTCATTTTTTGTTAACTCAACTATATTCTTGTTTTACTAGAATAAAATGTGGAAATATTATCTTTTCTAGTTGGCGATTCCACCTCAGACAACTAATAAATTATTAGTTGTCTGAGATTCAACGAACGCCTTAAGAATGACCACGTATTATTTTGTTTACCAAACATGAGAAAATATTTTCTAAAAATAGAGAATAGTTGATATTGTCACAAAAAAATCTTAGAGATTAACCCAAGATACATGATACTTACCAAGTATTAAATCGATTGAGCTGGTAGTTTTCAAGACGTCGTCAAAGGTAGCTGTTTTGACCAAAATACAATATTGATGTAATTGTATAATTATATATTTTCAGTAAGCCAATCCTAATTAAATAATACAACAATCACCTTCGGCATTTTTGTTGATCTCAAAAAGGCATTCGACACTATTAACCATGACATCCTCATTTCAAAATTACAGCATTATGGCATTAGCCCCCCCCCCCTTTTATGGTTTAGAGAATATCTTTACAATCGCCACCAATCAGTTACTTTAAATCACATTTCACCATCATACACTCTAATTAAATGTAGCGTCCCTCAAGGGTCGATTCTGGGTCTTATTCTATTCCTAGTCTATATTTAATGATATTGCAAATTCAACCACGCCTATAGTTTTTGGCTCTTCGCAGATGATGCAAATCTATTTAAATTCCTCAAAGACAGCCACATCAATCTTTCCGATATCAACATTGACTTTCAAGGAGTCTGCGAATGGTGCAGTGCTAACAAACTCACAATAAATATACAGAAAACAAATTATATGATTATTAAAACAGCACAACGAGTTGTTAACACCGAGGGAAGTCTGCTTATCCAGGGATCTCCAATTGAGGGGGTTCTATCAACTAACTATTTGGGAATTTCAATTGATCATCATATCAATTGGAAATCCGGCATTGACAAAGTCAGGAAAATAATTGCCCCCAAAGTTGGAATCTTTTCTCAAATTGAACACTA